TCAACCTCCCGGTCTCAAGTGATCCTGCCACCTCAGCCTCCCCAGGAGCTGGGACTACAGGTATGCACCACCACACCCGGCTAATTTTTTATTTTTTCTAGAGACAGAGTCTCACTATGTTGCCCAGGCTGGTCTCGAACTCCTGGTGCAAGTGATCTGATCACCTCACCTCCCAAAGTGCAGGGATTCTGGGATTACTGGTATGAGCCACCATGCTCAGCCAAGTATTCTTTTTTTTTTGAGATAGGGTCTTGCTCTGTCCCCCAGGTTGGAGTGAAGTGGTGTGGTCTCAGCTCATTGCAATTTTTGCCTCCTAGGCTCAAGTGATTTGGCTGCCTTAGCCGCCTGAGTAGCTGAGACTACGGGTGCCTGCCACCAAGCCTCACTAGTTTTTGTATTTTTTGTAGAGACAAGGTTTTGCCATGCTGCCCAGGCTGGTCTCCAACTCCTGAGCTCAGATGATCTACTCACCTTGGCCTCCCAAAGTGCTAGGATTACAGGCATGAGCCACGACACCTGGCCAGGTATTATTCTTTACCTTTCTGCAATCTAAGTAAAAAAGAGTTCATTGTTTTAATGCACATTTCTCAGTAAGTTCGATCGCCTTTTCAATTTTTGAGTCATTTATATGTCATCTTTTATAATGAGTGTTACAGATGTATCTAAACATATTTTGGTTTTGGTTTAACTTGGGGGGTTTTCTGACACTAAACATTTTTATAAGTAATGCATGCCTGTGGTAAATTATTTTAAAGCAGAACAAAAGGATACATTGGTGAAAAATAAGTTTCCCTCCCTCCAACTCAGTATCCAAGTTCTCCAGCTAATTCATCTTACCATTTTCCTGGTATCCATTCAGAGATATTATTTACACTGACAAGTACTGTATTTTCATAAATAAAAGGCAAGTGCAAGTGAAATGGCAGCTGAGCTTAGATACTGGATTCTTTTCATTTCTTCGTTCCCCATTCTGGGTACAAATGGTGACCAAGGAAATATGTGATTACACAACATCCTGCCTTTGAGGAATTATGTGATTACAAGACGATCTGATAAGCACTGCAAGAGAGGTGTTTTGTACAAACAACAATGGAGCTTCTAGAATGGAACAGAGTGAATGCATTATTTACTAAGTGTCTGCTATATGCTAAACACTGAGTTATAATCCCTCCTGTATGTTCTAATTTACTTCTACCTTACAATGCTTGTACTGTATATTCTGATTTACAATGGTGCTGAAAGTTCAGTCTTGTTGTCCTCATTTTACAGATGATGAAACACCCACCCAAGGCCTCTATACCATACAGAATGATGCCTCTCTCCAGTGGCCGCCCTGAGCACATGCCATGGAGAATGAAAGCCAGGAAACAAAGGAGCAAACTGGTTCATC